AGGGGCGGGCTGGACCCCGCGGCGCCCCGCGGCCTACGGCCTAGCCGGACCGAAGCTAACTGTGTTTTATGCAAACTATATAGAGGAAAGGGGGCTGGACGGGTGTGGTGTCTCTCCGCCCGGCCCGGCCCCGCCCGGCCTTTCCGAACCCCACCCATACGAGTGTGGAAGCAGCACGGCGGGGTGCGCCAGGCACAGCTCACGGGACTCGAACAGCTCCAGGAGCGCGACGAAGGGGGGCTCGTCCTGCTCGTCCATCGTGGCTCGCAACAGGCAACAGGTAGGGTTGGGGAGGGCGCTCCACCGACACACAGCGCCGAGGCACGCCGTAGGCCACTGTCTGCACTGGGGCATAACATTCAGAGACAGATCAGAGATCCAAGCCGTAAGATTGTATTTTGTTCCACAAACGCGGTACCACATACATCACAGGTAAGTCCCGGAACTGCATAATACTCATTATTAACTTTAAAAGTAGAGTACATGATGCAAAAATTAGAGAGTTGAGACGACATAGTGCATGGTGGAGATATTAGCAAAATGTGTTAAATATATACAAAAGGCTCAGTCATATCCAACTGCAACAAACGAAGAACCTCTCCATTTCCACAAAAACAGTAGTGTGAACATGTGTTGTCAAGATTACATAATATATGTATAGCACTATATAGAAGAGTATGTATACAAATATTTCACAGATTAAAATCACATTTTGAATAAGTTGGGAAATTTTAAAAAGAAGAAATTTTCAAACTATTATAATAGATACAAATAGTCACCTCAAAATTAGATATTTTTGAGTCAAGAGAACACAATTGGCACATGGTGACTTTAAGAGTCAGGTGTCTGCGGGGCTGCCATACAGGTTTTCACTAAAGAAAATTCATGGATAAAGATGTCTGCCTGGATTGGTTCTAATTGGCGAACAGCTCTGAGATATATGTTGCTGATGTTCTTGGGTTCTCCCCTTTTCATTTCAAATTTTACGTAATCCATCCACACATCTGTGAATAAGAAACAAGTTAGATTAGATTAGATTAGATAAACAAATATTAAACTATGTTTCAAAGAAGATTAACAAGACCTTACCTGCATTATCTTTGCCAAACTGACTGGAAGCATTTTCATGACATTTTCGCACTTGCTTCATTATTGCAGTGGTCTGCATAGATTCAAGGGCTGCCATTTTAGTGTGAAGGTCGAGACTTAGTGGAGGCTGCAAGCACAGCTTGTCGTAAGCAGCCCTGGCATCACGAATACCGCGTGACAGGCACAGCCATTCTAGGTAGAGAGGTCGCAAAGCAGTGGCCACATTTGGAGCAGCATTGAGACCTTTTTCAAAAAGGGCCTCTGTTTTAGCTGGACTTTTAGTTTGACAGTACTGCAGCTGTATCTTCCATAAGGGTAAAACACTCTCTGGATCAGTTCCTGAAAAGAAAAGAATAAGGAAGCTCAATTAACTCATTAATTTAAGAAAACGACATGTTTATTACTATAGATTGGATTCTTAAAAAAAATTAATGTGCCTCTAAACACATACCTAGGTTTTCAAGTGCTGAATGAAATACTTCTTCTGCAATAATTTCTTCATCTCTAGAAAGATGAAAACGCAATCGTAGTTGCCATAATTCTGCACTGGTTGGAATCCGCTCTGTACCTGACTTTAAAACATCTCTAGCCTTTTTGGACTTGCCAGCAGTCTGAAGCATTTCAATCTGTTCAACACAGTTATTAGATATAGATCATAAAGGTAAAAGCAATAAAATATTCAAAACAAGGAATTTTAACTTAAAACACATAACTTACCCAATGTAAATAATATTTTTCTTGCAATTTTCCAGCATTATGGGCACCTTGCAGAGCATGCTTTAAAAGTTTCTTCTTGTAACAAGGAAGATGAGCTTGGTCAGAATTTGCTTCCAGCATAGTGTCTAGGTATAATGACCACATTTTTTCAGTATTGATCTTCTTTACAACTGCCTCATAAACTTCACAGCAAAGTCTGCAATAGCGATGATAAAAAATAAATAAACACAACAAAAAAATTATTACAGAGAAATGCTATTTGTATAAAGGTGGATTTACAACAGCAACGCAGCAAACGTAGTTTACCCACTAGCGTTAAAACAACGCTCGTAAAGGTCCTCTTCCACTCCCCCCTCACCTTGTTCTGACCACTATGCTGGCGTTAATTCAACGCTAGCATTTAAGATAAGCTTACTGCATTCCAATCGAAAATCCCCCTTTATAAGAAGATAATAAATTATAAAACAGACTGACCTTAGCCTTTGTGTTAAATTTGATTTCCCCTTCTTCTCGTTAAGTTCAGAATTATCATCATCAACTTCCATTGTGTTTGCTCCCTCTGGACTGAGGGGGATGGAAGAATTGTCCGCTGTAACTCCAAGTAATGGCTCTAAAGGCGATTGGTTTGAATTGTGTGGGTCTGAATAAGTCAGGCCTTCAAGTTCTCTTCTTGCCATGGTATCCCAGGTCAGTTCTTCATCTGGGTATTTGTTTAATAAATCCCTGAAAATAAAAATAAACTGATGTAAATATACTGTGTAAAGAAAAACAAAAATAATAATTAATGATGTTACACCAATTGCAGGAAACTAACTCAACAATCTTCTTCTGCAATTTTCCAGTGAAGCTAAATTCTTTAGCAATATCCAACAACTGTATGATGAAAGCAACTCCATCTACCTTCTTCATAGCTGATTCATAAATCAGCTCAGCTAATCTACCTTCTGCCACCTAGAAAGATGCAAATCCAAGAAAGATTATTAATATTGAAGCTATTCTCGATATTCAGATATGCAGTAGATAAAATATCCGTTATTAAGAGTTGCTAAAACAGTTACCTGGTCAGGAACCACATCTCCATGGAAGGTTACTCCACTGCTCTTACTTTCAGCACTGGATTCATTGGAATCTTTTGTACTTGTTCCAGCAACAGCCAAGTCACCTTCCTGCTGCTTCTTTTTTGCTTCCTCCAGCTCGGCTCTTTTTTTGGCAGCATAATGTAATTCCATACGGAATGCTTCCGCATATAGCAATCGAGACTCCGGATGAGCACGTAAACCTCTCAGTAAAAACTGACGAGCATTTTCAACAGATTGACTCTCTTCGAATTCCCACTTTGCAGCAAGTTTCCACAATTGTGGTTTATCACTGTGAACTTGCAACATTCGAACAAGCATTCGACTGACACAGCTATAGAAACGCTGAAAGTTTAAGGAACCATTCAATTGAGTATTATAGTTGACGTGACAGAAGGTAATTGACTTATTTATCGAAAATAGTAACTAACCACTTGTTTACAAAATTTAATATAAGAGAGCCACAAACGAACATCATCTTGAAAACGGAATATGGCCTGCTTAAAAAGTTTATTAACTCTGTTTCCAATAGTGAAGTCTATATTGGCTTTCTTCTGTTGATATCCCATTTTCTGGAGGATAGAAAATGATGTAGAGAATTACCCCTGAAGATTGTTAAAAAAATATTACTGGAAATGATCTGAAGATTATCTACATACTTCTCTCCTTAGACGTATCAATTTCAACAAATCCATTTCATATTGAATATATCTTAAATAATCTTCTTTATTTTTGGTGCGTCTTTGAATTTTGTATTCAAACTCTTTCCTCTTTTTCGCTATGGTTCTGAAATGAAGAGGTAAGTTATTGAGATTAATTCAGTTCAGACACATAAAAGAATCAAAATGAAACTCGACACGCCACCTAGTTGTTCCAAAAATACAAATTAGAACAACTTGTGCCTAGAAGCAAACGTTTCCCACAGAGGTTATGAAAATAGCTAGACCCACCTCAACTCTTCTTTTTCGAACATTAACATACGTTCCATCTGCTCCACCTCCGGGAGCATTTCCTCCGTACGGAGTTCCACAAATTCCGCCATTATTCAGCGTTTTCCCTACTATTTCAGTAAAATAATAGCATACAAAACGCATGTAAACACTTAGACCGTGTGCTCCGGACACAGACAACATCCATACATCCAGACGACGTGACGAGAGTGAGGTTAACGCTGGGCTCAGGCGCAAGGGGGG